AGACGAAGGGGCTATTCTGACGGCCTCTGGGGTTCATTGATCCAAGTCAAAGAGCGTCCAGAAGAAGTTGGGCCCTTGTACCAGTCAAGGTTGATGGATCTTTCAATCATGTTGTCACCCTCAAATCCAGAGAAGGAGAACAAATGGAATCTTGTCGGGGTTGTAACCAACCTTCTTCAAAGTAGGGAAGGACATTTCCTTCACAAATTTCATCGTACCTTGCCTTTGAGTAACTTGGGGAGTGGTGGCATCCATCTGTCAAAATAATCAAATACTGTCAGTAAAAGATTTCAGCAAAAATTGAAATCCTCTTTAAGAAACCAAAGAAAATAAGTAAAACAAAAAGGTTAACCTTGTTGCAGCAGCAAATCATTTGCTTGACACCAAGGGTGAAAGCAAGGAGGGCATGCTCACGGGTCTGACCATCCTTAGAGATACCAGCTTCAAAACCTCCAGTGGTAGAGTCAATGATAAGAACAGCACAATCAGCCTGAGAGGTACCAGTAATCATGTTCTTGATAAAGTCACGATGTCCAGGGGCATCAATAACAGTGCAGTAGTACTTGGTGGTCTCAAACTTCCACAAGGCAATATCGATGGTGATACCACGCTCACGCTCGGCCTTGAGCTTGTCCAGCACCCAAGCATACTTGAATGACCTCTTGTTCATCTCAGCAGCTTCCTTCTCGAACCTCTCAATAACACGCTTGTCAATACCTCCAAGCTTGTAAATCAAGTGCCCAGTGGTGGTCGACTTTCCAGAGTCGACATGGCCAATAACAACAATGTTGATATGAACCTTTTCCTTACCCATGGTGGCACTTAACAAAGCAGCTACATGGACAAGGACAAAAACAATAAGTTTAAGACTACAGTTCATTCAAGATTCAGGAAAATAATCAATCAATAAGCTGAAGAATACAATTTTAACAAAACTTTGTTTTTTTATTGAAAGAAAAGTGTAGAAAATATATTGATATGAGATGTCAAGGGGACGCCGCCCACGTACAAAAGATAAATTGAAAAGAATTTATTGGATCATTGTATGACTTAAGGTGAAGGCCAGATACTGTATTTTACTACCTTATTCATATTAAGCAACATACTACTAAAAATCTTTTAATTTGGATCAGCAGGATAAAAAAAAACTAAAGTTAACAATACAAACTGGTTTCGACCCAACATTTCGATAGAAAATTAAACAAAAACAGTAAGCTTTAACTTCCGATGACATAAATCCTCATACCAGAAAAGCAAACACCCCATAAAATTCAATAAAGAGCATCGGAAGCACAAGCAACTAACAAATGGTTACAAATATAACTAGAGGTTGCAGTATCAACGGCCCATAACAATAAACTTAGACAAAATTCTCACGCCCTCCCCAGATCCAAACCAAAAAATTCAAATCAAATCTAATTAAGCAGACCCAGAAAAGAACATAAATATCACAAAACGAAATTATATTCATTGCAGATCGTAATCAAGTCAACGAGCTGATAATATATTTCTTATTTTCTTCCGTCTAATTTACTAACAACCATGCAGACAGGAAAGATAACAAGATCTGAGCGACAACAGTAATAAGAATCGAACAAAAATCCGACATCAATACGCATAAATCATTTGACTTTGGTAAGCAAAGGAAATCAGATACATAGCGGAAGAGATAACACACAATATTTAATTCTGCGACATACGAAAAAGCAACGAATCCAATAGACACAAACAAAGGGAACAAAACATTACCAGAGAAGCAGAGAGATCGGCCGCTGGGTGGAGAAGCAGAATGGAGAGTGTGAGCAGAAATGGCTCTCGGCTTGAGATCTAAACGTATATATAGTAGAAAAACCTCAATTGCAACTAGGGTTTCTTCCTCTGCCGTTCGATTGGATATTTTCTCTTTTGAATCAACGATTGTTAGTGTGACACGTGTATCACACTATTTTACTCGTACTTTATTATTTTCTCCTCGAAGAAAAGCTCTGCAATGACGTCCAACTCCTCGGCCGTCTTTGTTAACCAGAGCTCTGAATTTTGCTTTTCTCCAAACCACCTTTTAATCAACTACAGAAAATTATTTGCATCTTCCCACCCTTCATTACAAGCTTTAACTACGTTAGTAAAATATTAATTACTCGATTTTATTTTCAGTTCCATTAGAGTGTTTAATTACACAATCAGAACAATGTTTAATTACAGGGGTTTAGTCGGACAATTAATACAATTAATAAGATCGTAACACAACTCAATTTCAGTGAGCTTTTTGTTTAATTTTCATTACAATATTTAATTTTAGTAATTTTGATTTTTCGATAAATTATCGTAATTTATTCAATCAGACATTTTTATTTTTCAATAAATTGCATGCCAATCGGTAATTTTAAAAGTAAAAGAAGTCTAATCAGATTCGACACTCACTCACCGGTTACCATCTTCCTCTAAACTACCTGTTCAGGCCAGAAACTCTTCGAATTCGGATTCCACTCTCTCGGTTTCTTCTCTGCTTTTGTTTTTATAAAATCCGGAATGGCTGTTCGGAACACCTGCTCCTCAAAATTCTAAACGGATTAGTGAGTTCTCGCTCACTCAGTCTGACTTCAATTCAATCTAAAGAAAGAACGTAGCGACAACCGCGACAGCCATTATGGATTCTCATCAGGTTAGTAACGGGCGTGACGACTCTGTCCCTCTGGGAACCAACAAGAACCAAACCATGACGAGAACAACCATCGATTCAGATCACGTCAGCGATACGCCGGAAGCTCTATCGGAGGTCGTAGTACATTCCACTGCTCCTGACAGAAATCGTCTTCGTGCTGCTCCAGCTCCAGCAGTGCAGAACAAGGTGCTTCTTTTTTTTTTTTTTTTTTTCTGAACTACACTAGCCTTCCGAATTCTATGCATGAATCATTTTGTTTTCTTTAAAAAATATATATATATACATCGTATAAATATATGAATAAAAATATTCACGATGATGCGCACGTATTTTCTGCCATTGCATGTATAATTTTTTTTGTATGTATAATTTTTTTGGGTGAGAAGTATTTATGCATATAATTAGTACCCGCATACATATATACACACATACACACACATCTACAGTTTTTCCTTGAGGAAATATATATAATAACATGACGGACATACTAAGTTTATAAATTATTTTTCCCATAGGTCTCGCTGATTTTTTTTTTTCTTTTGTTTTCTCGAGTGAGAAGCATATGTATATAAGTTCCTAGGAAAAATAAACGTATGTATGAAGCGTATGTATGTATACACTTATATATATATAAGCGTATGTATATATGATTTTTCTCATATGTATATAAGATTCATAATTTTATCTATATCTTCCCTACTTATAATTTAAAAAATAAACTAAACAAAATGGTCCAAATATCTAGTCGTTCTTGTGGAGAATTTAAAGTCAGAATCTCTTTTCAGAATTGCTTTATTTAATTGGTTGCCTGGTTAAATACCTTCTTTTTTTTTTGGTTTTGGATATTAATGGAATTTTTTGTTTGAACAATGAACAGAAATATATCAAATGGGAAACTATACTTCTTGCGTACAAGACAATAGGAGTAGTGATGGGGTCACTTGTGACATCTCCATTATATGTGTATCCATCAATGCCATTGAGTTCTCCAACAGAAGCAGATTTCTTAGGAACTTACAGCATTATCTTTTGGACTCTCACACTCATTGGTGTTGTCAAATATGTTTCCATTACTCTTAATGCTCACGATCAGGGTGAAGGTAATTTCCATTTGAACTCATAACCATATTTTATATATTATTTTATTTCATGATTCTCTATTGAAATTGCAGGTGGAACGTTTGCCTTGTATTCTTTGCTTTGTAGACATATGGACATTGGAATTCTTTCTCCCAAACGGGGTATTTCAAATAATTCCTCAAGTCCTGACTCACTTTGCACCACTCAGAACAAAAGCAAACTTGTCAAATTTCTGGAAGGGAGCCTTCTTGCCAGACGAGTCTTACTTTTTGCTGCTATATTGGGCATGTGTATGCTAGTTGGTGACAGTATACTCACGCCAGCGATGTCAGGTTTTATCAGTTCTCCCTCTTTTTTCTTCTATATCTTTGGACCCCATGCATATCAAGCCATAAATAACACAGCAGATCATCTCGTACGGCTTAGGTTTTTTGGATAAGTTAGTTTAATGTTCTTATATTTTCTAATACTTCAACAGTTTTGTCTGCAATTGAGGGATTGAGAGCACCTTTCCCCCAAGTTACTGGTGGTAAGTATGAGGTTAGATTATTCCAACTTTAATACAAGCTTGAGAGACATAACTGTTGATTCTTGACTTGTGAATTTTTGTTGGCGTAACTTTTTAGATGCTGTGAAAGGTATTTCTGCAGCAGTTCTAGCTGCTTTGTTCTTGTTGCAAAGATTTGGAACCTCTCGAGTGAGCTTCTTGTTTTCTCCTATAATGGTTCTATGGACTTTGTGTATCCCGCTTATTGGAATATACAGAATTATACATCACTACCCATCTATCTTTAAAGCTATGTCACCACACTATGCCTTTCTTTTATTTGCAAGAAGAAAAAAGCAAGGCTGGTTGTTGCTTGGCGGCACAATCCTCTCCATAACTGGTATATATGAGTGATAAAAGTCTATTTCTTTATTCATAATTTTCTTTTTAGCTTCTTCAGTCTTTTGTTATATTCTCTTTCAGGCTCAGAAGCAATGTTTGCAGATCTTGGCCATTTCGATAAAGCTTCTATTCAAGTAACTTTTAATTTTTTCGCATATTTAGTTTATAAACATATAAAATTGATTAACTAATTAAAAATTAATCTTTTTTTTTTTTCGTGAACAGCTAGCTTTTTTGTGTACCCAGTATCCATCACTTATTCTAACATATGCCGGACAAACGGCTTATTTGATCAAGAATCCCAATGATCTTGGTGATGCTTTCTACAAGTTTGTACCAAAACCAGTTTACTGGCCAATGTTTGCTGTAGCCACATTAGCTGCCATTGTTGCTAGTCAGTCACTGATATCAGCCACATTTTCTGTGATTAAGCAATCAGTTGTGCTTGACTATTTCCCTCGTGTCAAGGTGGTGCACACCTCTGATAGGAAGGAGGGCGAAGTTTACTCGCCAGAAGTCAATTACATTCTCATGATTCTCTGTGTATTTGTCATGGTTGCTTTTGGAGATGGCAAAGCTATTGGAAATGCTTATGGTAAAGTAACTACAACTATTTCTTTCTTATTTTATTCTTTCAAATTCAAAATTGAAAGGTAAGAATAATTATACAATATTCATTTTAGTCATAGCTAAAAATGTGGATGTCTACTTGGTAGAACGATCTGAGTTTGAGATAAATTTGGGACTAGTTTTGAATATTTGCTAACTACTAATGAATTTAACATTTTTCTTGTAGGTGTTGTTGTCTCTATGGTCATGCTCATAACCACTGTATTGTTGATTCTGGTCATGATCACAGTATGGAAAACTCACCCTGTGCTGATCGCGCTATACTTTTGTGTATTTTTTCGGTTAGAAAGTTGTTACGTTAGTGCAGTTCTCTCTAAACTCTTAAAAGGAGGATGGATACCTTTTGTGGTATCTTTAGTTCTTGCATTCATCATGTTTGGTTGGTATTATGGAAGACAAAGAAAAATGGACTACGAGTTTACTCACAACATAGATTTGGGAAGACTAGAAATGTTCTTGTCCGATCCAAATGTCCATAGAGTTCCTGGAATGTGCTTCTTTTACACAAGCATTCAAGACGGGTTCACTCCTGTACTCGCACATTATGTCAAAAACATTAAGTCTTTACACAAAATCACGATTTTTACTACATTTAGATACTTACTAGTCTCCAAGGTTCCAAGGCATGAGAGGATTATCGTCAAGAAGCTGGCGCTCAAGGGACTCTACAGGTGTGTAATTCAGTATGGATATGCAGACTCATTAAATATCGAAGAATATGATTTAGTGAGTCAAGTGATTGATAGTATAAAACTACACTTAGAGAGTTTGGTGTCCGATTATCCATTAGAGATTCAAGAAGAGTCAAAACTTTCTGGTGTGGTTCATGTTCGAGGGAAGACAAGATTCTATGTGGGAATGAAAGGTAGTTGGTTTGATAGAATCGTTCTAGCTTTCTATGAAGCCATGCACAACAACTGTAGATCAGCGTTGCCTGCATTGAATATGCCACAACAAATTGAGATAGGCATGGTTTATGAGGCCTGAATATTGATTAAATTTCAACGGTTTTTTAGATTTTGTCGGTTAAAGAAAAAGTCAGTCTTGAAGGAATTCTTCTTAGTTATCTTTTTAGCCGAATGTATTTTGTTCAAAAACTATGATATTTTAATATTACACCGTTTGAATATTTTTTAGCGTAGTAACATATATCTTTATAATTCAAGAATGCTTATTTTTTGAATGTTAATGTTGCTTTTGTTATGTACTTGTATATTTTATATAGGCCTCAGATGTCTTATGTGAGTAAACAGTATATTAATATGTCTTACACTTCCATGTAAATACAAGCACGGATGTTCGTTCTCCATCAAAGAGAAGAGTTGAATGCTTTAATTAATGAAATTTATTTGGTGTACCAAGTAACACCCATTAACATGTTAAACGCTCAAAGTCGAAGAAGCTAACCCACCTGAGTCACATGGGTTGCCATTCTAAGCACACATAATAATATTCTAAATTCTTCAAATGACGAGGATCATTTATATTTGTGGTTTCTTTTTACATTTTGATGTCACTGGGGAATGCCATAATTAGCCATTCTGATGAATTATCGGTGTACTCTTAATGGTCTCTCATTAAATGCTTTTATAAATTACAGCTTAACGCCTGCATTTTCAGTTTGCAGTTCTTTCAGTCCACGGCACTTTTCTGAGTTTTTCTTCTTCTTCTTCTTCCTCCTCCTCTGTGTCCTGTTGCTCTGTTTGTCAAAGGTATGGATACCGATCAAACAAGTGAAATTCGTTCCCAGTCGACTCTGACCGAGTTGATTGTCGCCGATGATGCACCTGCTCCTCAAGTTCTCCGGTTAGCCCAGTGCCACAGATGAAGGAGGTGAGAGTTCTCTTTCTAAAGAACATTCCGCCATCTTCTGTCTCTTTTCAGTTTCATACTATATATTATACACTTTTCTTAAGCTCATATGCATGCACACATGTCTATATAACATTGTTTGTTTGTTCATTTTCTTCTTCTTTTTTGGCAGAAGAAGTTATCATGGTGTTTATGTTAATGAGCTGATTATTTATGCGTTACAAAAAATATATTTTTGTATTCCAAAATTTTGAATAATTAGGAAGAGAGTAAATGGGGGAACATATTGCTGGCATACAAGACCTTAGGAGTGGTGATGGGATCGTTAGTCACGTCTCCACTCTATGTTTACTCCTCGGTGCCGATTAAATCTCCGACAGAAGAAGATTTTTTAGGACTTTACGGCATAATTTTTTGGACCATTACTCTCATTGGAGTCGTCAAGTACTGCTTCGTTGCCCTCGATGCCGACGATCGGGGTGAAGGTATATAAATAATCCAACCATGTATAAGGATTAAAATACAAATATATCTGTAAGTTCAATGCTTGTATCAAACGCTCACATGGTGGAATTTCTAAAAACTTATGAAAAGGACAGAGAATAAATGAATGCGATCAATTATGCTTACCAATATTACGTAATTTACTTCTTTTTAAAGTAGTAGTTTTCAATACCCATGTGAAGTTAAAGACCTAAAATTAGATGGTGGATTACACAGACATATATATACACGTATATGGCAAATCATCATATTTCTTATGTATATTTTTTGTTGAATACAGATTACTTATTTAATTTAAATGTATAAATTAGATGAAAAATACACAAATTAAACACCTTTAATTATGCATAACTTACATATTTTATTAACTTATAAACTTCAATTACAAGTTTTTTGAAGAAAAACCTCAGACTCTCCCTGTAATCTCTTTTGTGGAGAAGAGTAAACCTTCAAAGTTTTCATGATCCAGCATAAACGACACACAGGGAAAGAAAAAAAAGTGGTTTCTTCTTGAATTTTCTTCTGGGTGTGGTTTCTTTCTACTTTCTCGGTGGGGGGTTGGATTAATGGTGAAGTAAATAAACATTGGGCATGTGAATCAACTGGTAATAATGAGTATGGCAAGCTAATACTCTGTTATGAAGCATCAAGGTAGAATATCTTATCCAAGCTCTAACGAAAACCTCCTTTTTGAAAAGACTGACTATATGGGTAATTATATTTATCATAACCAGATTTCAGCGAGTTTCAATAATCAAAGTTGTTTTCCTTTCATTTTAATTTTCAATTCCGATTTGAATCGCAGGCGGAACGTTCGCTCTGTATTCATTGCTTTGCAGGCACATGGATGTTGCAATTCTTTCCGCAAAACGCGGTGGCTCAAGCTCAAGCATTTCCAGCTCCATGAACACAGGGAACAAAACCACCCTTGCCAGATTTTTAGAAGGAAGCATCGTTGCAAGGAGGCTGCTGCTTTTCGCTTCCATGTTGGGCATGTGCATGCTAATCGGTGATAGCATACTTACGCCTGCAATGTCAGGTTGTTGATCACCTTTTAAGTTTCACACTTTTGCTCCTCTTTTTTGGGATCTGAACTGTATTTGGACTCATCCATTTACATTTTCTTTTCAACGTTTTTGTTGAGCATTTTAACAGTCTTATCTGCCATTGAGGGAATAAGAGCACCCTTTCCTGCTGTGAGTGAATGTAAGTATTAATGCAGATTGTTTCACCTTGTATATGAGCTAAAATCCAAAAGGAAACTCGTGTTAATGTGATGCATTCTTCCCATCTCAAGTTATCTCATTTTTAGTTCCTAGTCTTTGGTCTTTTTGCTTTAACTTCTTGGGAATTTATCTGGATAGTGGAAATAAAATGCTTTGTTTGAACCAGTCTTGCTCGGTTCTTGCTGGATCATCAAGTTTTACATGAATACGTCTTTAAAACTTAGGAGCAAAACAGAAGCAGATGGGCGAAACTTAAGAAGTTAATTAATATACGGACGAAATATATTGCTTCTAACATAGATCAGAGTTCATTTTGTCAGTTAATTTAAGTTAAATGATTTCAATCCATGGTAAGACTTCCCTCTTTTGTTTTTAATTGTGTTTGCTTCTTTTGAGTTCACAATTCTTCTGCTATGATTTTCAGCTATGGTGGAGCTTATTTCTGCAGTAGTTCTAGTTGTTCTGTTCCTGTTGCAGAGATTTGGGACGTCTCGAGTGAGCTTTCTTTTTTCTCCTATAATGGGTTTATGGACCTTATGCATTCCGTTTATTGGAACATACAGAATCATACGACATTACCCTGGTATCTTTAAAGCTTTGTACCCTCTGTATATCATTCGTTTGTTTGCAAGAAGAGGAAAAGATGGCTGGTTAATGCTTGGTGGCACCATTCTATGCATAACTGGTATGGCTCACTAGTTAAAGTCTAAGGTGAATTAGAATGAGGTTCTTGATGTTTGTTTATTGTTACAATTGGATTCACTATTTTTTTGATAATAATCTAGTCCTTATATATCAAATATCAATGCCATGTTAATTTCAATTCAGTGTCTTAATAGAATTTAAGTAACAGTTAAATATGTGTCAAGAATCAATCATACAACTTACGATGAGAAAAACTATCAACATAACAATGGATTGATTTCGTGATTTATTCGTTTGCTATTTACATTCTAAGGTGCAAATTGGCGGTATAAAAGAACCCAGATGCAAGAATTTCTTTATATAACCTAATGATATGCTATTCTGGTAATGCTTGTTTCCATGGCTTACTCTCAAATTTTGGTTTATATATACTGTGAAAGAAAAGGAAGGATATTGTGGTCAAATTTTAGTATCAACGAGCCGCATCTCGGAACGATTAGATGTTCCTATTGTGCATTTATAATTGTAATGATCTTTTTCTGTCACAGGTACTGAAGCATTGTTTGCAGATCTTGGTCACTTTAATAAGAGGTCCATTCAGGTGAGCTATACTTTCTTCTTGTAGTGTTTTTCGTATACGGATAAAATTGCTTCCTTTAAATCTTAAACACTTTTTCCTCAACAGACAGCGTTTCTGCTTGCACTCTACCCATCACTGGTTCTAACATATGGAGGACAAACTGCTTATTTAATCAAGAATCCAGATGATATTGGAGATGCATTCTATAAATTTGTTCCAAAACCAGTTTACTGGCCAATGTTTGTCATAGCAACATTGGCCGCCATTGTTGCGAGTCAATCGTTAATATCTGCCACGTTTTCAGTAATCAAACAATCGGTCGCTCTGGACTATTTCCCTCGAGTAAGAGTGGTGCACACGTCTGCGAGCAAAGAGGGGGAGGTTTATTGTCCGGAGATCAACTTCATCCTCATGATTCTTTGCACTTTTGTCTTGCTTTTCTTTGGACAAGGAAATAGTATTGGAAATGCTTATGGTATGATCATTTCAATTCCAAAAATTTCTTTTTATGATATTCAACAGATTCTCGCTGTACTAGTCTGCACTTTGATTTTCTTTTCTTTTCCTTTTTCCTGTTTATGCTAAAAATTACCCTTACGCATTTATATTTCAGGTGTTGTTGTTACTCTGGTCATGCTTATCACCACCATATTGTTGACTATAGTCATGATCACAGTATGGAGGACTCATGTGTTGCTGGTTGCACTCTTCTTCTGTGTTTTCTTTGTGCTGGAAGGAGTTTATGTGAGTGCTCTTATGGTTAAAATTCCTGAGGGAGGGTGGTTACCTTTTCTGGTATCATTAATCCTTTCCTTCATCATGTTTGGATGGTTTTATGGGCGTCAAAGGAAGCTAGACTACGAGGCAACTCACAAGGTTGGCTTAGAAAGATTAAAAATCCTGCTAGCAAATCCAGGTGTCCAGCGAGTTCCCGGAGTATGCTTATTTTACACCAATATCCAAGATGGATTCGCTCCTCTCCTCGGGCATTATATCAAGAACATGAAATCTCTGCATAAAATCACGATCTTCACCACATTTCGTTACTTGTTGGTGCCAGAAGTTCCACGAAATGAAAGAACTCTTGTGAGCAAATTAGGCCTTGAAGGCGTTTACGGATGTGTGATTCGGTACGGCTACGCAGATGCTGCTAATCTTGAGAAAGAAGATTTAGCAAGTCAAGTATTGGATAGTTTGTTTTTACATCTACAGACATTGTCAGCAACTTCTGGGTCCAATTATGCAGAGATTGAGGAGGAGTTTGCTTGTTTGGAAGAAGCAAAAATTTCTGGTATAATTCATCTCCGAGGAAAGACAAGATTTTGTGTAGGTAAGAAGGCAGGATGGTTTGATAGAGTTATGCTTGCCTTGTACGAAATGATGCATAGCAATTGCAGATCTGCATTACCCGCACTCGGGTTTAAATCTGCACAACAAATTGAGATTGGAATGCTTTATGAGGAATGAACATAAGTTTTAACTTCTTCCACGGAGTTGAGCTCCTATTCTTTTGTTGGCTTTGCAGTTTTCTAGTTAGAATGCTATAGACTGCAACATTTTAGAAAAAGAATGAGGTGGTGAATCGACGTGAAATAATCTCAGTTTTGCAGCAGACATTCATCTGATTGGTACCAAGAATAGGGAAGGCCTGCGTGTCCCGCCAGTCTCGCCATCTTCAACAAATAGCAGCTTCCTAAATGCATCACATAACCAAAAATTAAAACTCACAAGATGGAAATTGAAATGCAACACACGGAAACGTACTCCTGACGCGAAATTGACACAAAATCACTTCCTAAACAAGAACCCAGATCTGTGAGCGGCAGCCATGAAAAGAAGGTGATAAGCTACAACTGTAACAATCAAAACAACCACCACCAGACAAACATCTTGCACGATCCAACTCCTTGTTATACTCAATGGGTCGCCACCCTATATATATATATACACACACACACACACACACACTTGTATCCACTTACTCAGACGCCTGCTAATTCAATGTGACCTTGCTCTGTATGAATGTTAAAGCATTGTACAAGTAATACTGTAGTAATTTGCTCTATAATGAACGTCAGCAAGATCAAGTTATTCGTATATCATTTAAAATTAGATTAAATAAAGACTTTTAATTGGACAAATAAAGAGCCAAATGTAATTTAAACCCGATTCTTAAAATAAATATAAATAAAATAGTAGTGAATATATTTAAGCACATTTCTAAAGTCATTCAAAAGCAATATGAAAATTTGGTAGCTGACTCAAATACACCTATATTAATCTTAATTTGAAATTATTTTAAAATAAAACAATATATACTCATACGTTATAAATATCAATGTTGTTCTTATTAAAATTCTAAAAATAATTATCTTTTTCAAAAAAAAAGAAAAAAGAAAAGAATTGGAGAGAAATGAAGGGATTTAAGTGCCTTGCAATTCACTATAAATCTATTTATAGCGGTGACACATCAAAACCTCATCAACAGACAAATTTCCTTCTAACAAATACACGTAACCCATGAGATAATCAGAAGTTTAATTCCCTTCTATAAATACATATATACGTATACATCATTACCCATCTATCTTCAAAGCTATAATCAAAAGTTTGATTTACTACTATAAATTCATATGTATGTATACATCACTACCCATCTATCTTCAAAGCTATGTCACCACACCATGCCCTCCTTCTATTTGCAAGAAGAAAAAAGCAGGGCTGCTGGTTGCTTGGTGGCAAAATTCTCTCCATAACCGGTATACATGACTGATAAAAGTCTATTTCTTTATTGGTAATTTTTTTTCTTTCAGTTTTTTTTAAAATTTTCAGGGTCAAAAGATGTTAAAAAACCATTTCAATAAGAATTCAATTCAAGTAATCTTTAATTTTTCTTGAATTGAAGCCAATAGGAGTAGTAATGAGGTCACTTGTGACATTTTCCTTATATGTGTCTCCATTAATATCATTGAGTTCTCCAACAGAAGCAGAACATTATCAGTTGGACTCTCACACTCATCGGTGTTGTCAAATATAGTGGCGACTGAGAATGATCGGAGAGAACAGTTCGATAACACTGCGAGAGTCCAAAAGATAATGCTGAAGAGTTCTGAGTAATCTGCTTCTCTTGGAGAACTCAACAGCATTGATGGATACACATATAAGGGAGATGTCGCATGTGACCCCATCACTACTCCTATTCTCTTGTATGCAAGAACTGTAATCATGAGGACTCGTGCAGTGCTGGTTGCACTTTTCTTCTATGTGTTCTTTGTGCTGGAAGGAGTTTATGTGAGTGTCCTTATGATTAAAATTCCTAGAGGATTAATCCTCTGGTTCATCATGTTTGGCTGGTTTTATGGGAGACAAAGGAGCTGGATTACGAGTCAAACTCACAAGATTGAATTTTGTAATTTAGCATACTAAGCAATTAACACTCTGTAGACATCTAATTACAAATGTTAACGCACAATATTTACTACGTTACTGCAAAATGTTAAATAAATTCTCTGATACTCATCCTGCAAAAGCCTGCGGTCTGTGTTTTATTAAAGAATTCAACCAAGATTAAACACAAGATTTGCAGACAATCATCAAGCTTCTAAACACAAGTAGCAGGCCAGAAACGTAAATCACTAAAAAAGAAATATATGGTCACCAAGAAATAATTGAGACTTCAAAAGACATTTTCTTAAACAAAGAACAAAATTTTCAGAACTGCCGGTAAGATAATTACAAGGTAGATGAGGTAGAAGGTATGAAGAAATCTATAGTTCAACATTATGAATGCTGGAATCGATCTTGAAAACTCATCGAATTGGTACGAAAAATATATGGTCATCAAGAGATAACAGCTTCAAAACATATGGCAATTTAGAATTCTTGACATCAATACTTAATTCTCACTTTGGTGAAATGGGAATCTCATCCGACAAATCAAGGCCTCTAACTAACAAATATCCTGGAGCCTAATTGTTCTACAGTAGCTATAGGAGAATGAAGCTACAAAGTAATCATGCAACACAATCAAGTATCCACAAAACAGAATACTCTAAGAAAATTAATAATCCAAAAAGCCTCTCTGAAAAACAATTGAGTATCCAAGGAGCTAACAACACAACTACCTCGAACATAATTAAAAACAATGACAGAAATTTAAATGCATCACATAGAAACATAGTTCTGACACGAAATTGACCCAAAATCACTTCCCAAATGTCCACCGTCTGTCAAGAACCCAGTTCTGTGAGCGGCAGCCACGAGAAGAAGGCGATGAGTTACAACTATAACAATCGAAACGGGAAA